ACGTGAGTTAATAAATAGCGGACCATATTGGCGGTGGAAGCTACCAACACCCTTTCTTCACAGTCATCTACAAAATTATGATTAAGTTCATTTTCGTTCTTCTGACGTTACTGTTGACTTCTTTGCACCACTATGTGTGACTACAAGGACAGTTGTCTGCTAGTGAACAAAGTTAACAACAGCAACTAAATACCAAAGTAAATAACTTCAAGCGGACGCAAGTAGCAGACAGCTAGCGCAAATGACAAAGGAAACTAGAGAAACAAAGCCTCTTCCCCAACCATTCAACGGTACAGTGACTTATATCGGCAACTCATACCGAATGACAGTACTCAAATACGAATCGATCGCGGCCCTCGACAACAATCTCGAGGCTGCTTGTCATCTGTTTACGGCAAAGCGATGGAGCTTGTTGAAAAGCCCCGACACATTTGACCGATTCGAATAAATATAATAGTTTCCGTAGGATGCGGATTTGTAAAGCAAATCATCTTCATTGACGTAACAATACTGAACACGTAAGACACCGCGTACCCCCATGCCACATCAGAGCATGGTTAGCAGCGGGGACAATAAGTAAAATCGGAGAATCCTTTAATTGCTTTGTTGCAGCTACTGGAAGAAAAAAAATAATTCACAACTACCTGGGCCAAATCTAAACATTCGTCGTCGTCAATGTCGTCGGCTCTTACTTAATTTCCGCCGTTACCGCATCACTTTCTCAACGCTGCGCATCCCTAGCCTGTATGGCGCATCAGAAAAAATGTTTATAGCCTATCAGTTTTAAGTCAGCTCTTTAGGCCTTCACCGTAGTAACATAGCTGCAGGTATCATAGGCCGACGGTAGCAGTTGCTGCGCGCTTTTTATGATTAATTTCAGAATTACACTGCGCGAGCGAAAGGGTATTTCCATTTCAGCTTAAGTTCATGACCGTCCTGCTTCCCGCACGGTTGCGAGCCTTCATCAAAGCAGCCCTGCTTGAGCTTTGACAAGATTGTCAAGTACACGGATTCATTGTAATGTATTCCTGGTGTACTGTCGAAGGGTCCTCACGTTCGTTTACGATGCTGCGAAAATTCAGCAGTTTACTGCGCGCCAATTGCATACTGCTGGCAGCAATGAAATTCGCAAGATAACATCATTCGTGCCGACAGAGACTGACCTGTACAAACACACACTATATCTGCAACAGGACACAAAAGTTATCAAGTCACGCAGCAGTACGCCGACGCGTTCGAGGGGCTCATTGTCCATTCAGCAGCCCATTGAAAAATTGAGATCCTGAATAGTACACGCTCTGTCTATTGTTGTCTATTATTTGTCAGTATTGTTAATATTTGTTATGATATCCGTATTTTATTGTTATAAGTATCGAGTGAACTTGTCCGTGTACTGGTTAGAAAAAAAACGCTATCGCTCGGAACATCCATTTTCTCTCATTTCCAAACTCACCATCTAATAATAAAAATAAAATTAAAAAAAAAAATCACCACCAAGACAAACTTCTTAACCTTCTTCAAACCAGATAATGTCAGGTCTGTTAATTATTCAGTGAGCACATAATTCGAAATGTAAATACGCTAAGGAGTGTTTCACCTTTTTCAAGAAAAATATGGATAAAAAATGGTCGACTTCATCGCTTTAGCCGCGAAACCGCTATATTCTATAGTAATCAGTGGAGGGACGTATTGAAGGGAAAAAACGAATAAAAGTCTAGTGGTGATTAACAAAGGCTAGAACGAACACGAATCAACTGGACAATTGATGAAGACGATCTCCTTTAATATGAACCGTCGTTATCTGATGTTAATGCTCAGATGGCGAGAACACTGGTTTGACCTAACGTTATTGCTGCTAGGCCCTTCTACTAAGACCCCTACCGTTTCATGTGTCCTAGTGGTGATAGATGATAACGAGAAGTTTGCATAAATTGTGCATGTATAAGCATATATTCGATCTCCATAGGTATATTTCTGGCCGTGTAGAATGGTACTAAAAAGGAGTGCAAGGGTAAAATTCTGCCAATGTCACTAATAATAGTGGTGATTCATACGCTAGTTTGCCAGAAAAAAGGGCCGCCTAAAAATCCATTGCTCAAATTGCTGGTTCGTAACAAAATCGTCTACTTGACTTTTGGATCCATCCCTTTATAGGGCGAAGTTATTGCCTATATATCGTATCGTCGCAATGGTGGACGACGGTAGCGGTAGGTTAATTTGTGTTCAAATTAATATTCTGTACTAATACTTAATGATTCGTTTCTCAGGTGTTATACAACCATATACTTTATGTAAATAAAGATGCCTATCAGCTCAATAATAACCATCATCAGCATAATTGGCCGCTATCTAGCGACATTTTTATTGCCTACAATACGCACCTGAATTAATAGATCTTGTACTTACCAAAATGTACAGGCTAGATCGGCTCTAGGAAAGATCTTTCTGCGGTTTTTTTTCGCCGGAAAGGCCGTCAGCAGAAACAAAAATGATCGACGTGTGGCTGACCTTTTTCTTGTACGTCGGTACGCATTCAAAGACGCCAGCGTGTATAACGTGCGTACTTTAGAAACCAGTTTGCCTCTTCACTAAGAATTTGCGTTTGAGAGAAAAAAAATCTACTTGAATAAAAACTAGGGTAACCGAAGTCTAAATTGTTTTTTTTTTTCTATCGTTAACAGCTATTTAACACTATATCAATACGTCTACGTAGGGTCCTAGCAGCACCGAACGTGTACAAATCCCAGGGCCACCAAAAATCGATATCACTCCACAGAGTTAATCAAATGATATCCCTCCAGTCAGTCAAACCAACTGTCGTGGGATCACAGAGCGACTGTCGAAACGCGAACGTTTTTTGTCGTAAGAATTGTAGATGACAAAGCTGGACGCATCAACGGGACCGTAGTTTCCCACTACAGACCCAAGACATGAGTAGACACCAGTTTTAGAATTAGTTAGGTATGTGAACTTCTGCGGCATGGTTGTGGTCGCCAATTGGCCAGACCACACGTCCGCCCAAAAACGATTCTGCTCTGAGCTGTAAGCGGCGGAAGTTTACCGCCTATGGTAAAAAAGAAAATTGACTGAAATTAGGAGTGACTACTCCTAATTGGGGTCTGCACGACATAATCCAGGCAAGCTATTCATCGAGGAATAATGGCCGATCGCTTTAGTAAGTTGTTTTTACTCCTCAAGAAGAGGCTTGGGATAATCGAGCCAGAAGTCTATTTTAGCGTGACAGAAAAGCCGACCATTTGGGCTCAGAAACTAAACCGAAGGCAATAAATCTGAATAATTATTCCAATCATTAGAGCTTACCCGTAGTGATTACTTAGTACTAAAATGTTAAAAATAGCTTTTTTTTTTTTCAGTGAAACAAGTATTGATTACGGAGACTTACTTTGTACTCTAATAACCAAGTTGTTATTTCACTAAAATAAACATACTGACGGAGCGGATAAATCAAAGCGTTTGTTTTCTGCCTTGGTCTGAATCGTTAGTGAAATGAACTAACAGTACGTGAAGTCACATATTATTGGAGCTTTTCTTTCGTGTCTATAAAAAGTACATATTTTTCAATATTTTGAAAAAGACTGTCAATCGTTTCGATACTGGGCTAAATTTTCTAGACATCTATGTCTGTCTGTTGGTTTGTTCTGCTAAAATAAGCTGCGTGAAGTGTTCTTTGTGAGCTGAAAATATTTTACATTGACGGCAAAAAACAATTCCTTATTAATTTTAAGCAGGTTTTGTCGCTTTTCGGCGAGTTACCTTACATTGGAAAAACTACACAACATAAAAATTGTCTCATAAAAATGTTATTTTTTGAAATAACTACTTATCTGTAGTGGAAAAAAACACTGAGCAATTGGCAGACGGATTTTTTGCAATTGAAAGATGAAGTAAAACAACAGCAGATCGTTGGAAGTGCTGTAAGAACGATATAACTAGAGAGTTGAGTCCTTATTAAAGGGTTAACGGAGTAATAAAACCTGAGTGACTTTCACGTAAGTTAGGGTTAGGTAAGTTCTCAAACGACCTGTATAGTAATGCTCAGATTGTTATAGAACAACGGAACAGTTGTGATAACAGAACGTGCTATTGACAATTGAGTAATAATATTTTCAAGTCATTTCAACAGCAGAACGGAATCAGCATGGCATGGTAATAAGTTAGTGACGCAACTATAATGCAGTATCGGTTAAGCATAATACAACTATCTAGTAAAATAAGATTTTACGGTAATTGCGCCAAAGCAGTCAGGGGCTCGCTAGGACAAAATACTATATTCAGCAAAAAAGGGAAATAGGATCACTGTAAGCGAACTATTAAGGGACAATTAACACAGTCGTGTATGAGGTAAAAGCTGTCGCTGCACAATCGACTTTTATTAGGTTGGACGTATCAAAACCAGCTGACTAAGTTACCATGGCAAGGCAATAGGAATTTTTCGATTCGGATAATCCGCATAACATAACACGAATAACAGGACAAGTGGATCACAATAACTGTTATAAGTTATAGTTTACACTAGGTTTGGTGTGACACCAAAGAATCAGTTAATATAATAATGGAAACATGAGTGCGAGACAAGTGTCTAGGGCCAGCTGGTCTGTCCTAATGTTCATCATAAGCATTCAAGGAGTTAGTTAAAAAAAAGATATGGCCATATGCCATACTTCATATAGAAATGGCTAATTCGAATAGAAACCACATTGACTTTGGTTGTCTCTGTGCAGAAGTGCCTAAATCAACTACAACCGCTGCCGATATTTACCCAATCCGGCAAAAAAGCGCAACTAATAATTTCACTGGCCTACTAATGGGGTTGTCTCTAAGCGGATAAATTTATCCTCCATATAAACAAATTTATTTAGCTTTATTTAAAGAAGATGCAAGTTATTTTGCACAAAATTATTTCATATAATTCCCGCAAGTGAATAAATAAAGCACAAAATTATTACATATAATATAAGTTAGGGTTTCGTTACACTCACCTATTACAGCGCTCAGTACCTTCAGCTATATTTCGCTACCATTATTTTCTCATATATATATGCTAGAGGCTTGAATCGCAGATCTCAGACTTCTTAGTCACGCCAGGCCTAAACACACTTCGTTTTGTACTGGAAAGAGGCGATACTTAACGCCAGTAGCCAAACATAAATTTTGAAGCCTTTAGGCTCCTTCAATCAAAAACTTAGCAGTCCCAACTATTGTATCCATTAATAAGGAGTAGACATTGAGCTTGTTCTGTAGCCAACTACTTAAGAAAAAATAACCCAGGTGCCCGAAATGTTTCGGAGCTGGAACGTAAAGAGGTAAAGTTGTCATTTAAAAATATTAGATATTACTGATGCTAGCCCGGCTACTTCATTCATCACTCAGCTAAATAAATAGTATTCTTGGAAACAAAATACGCACACCGGTTTACAATGAATATCTGTTGGCTTAATTACACAAAACTTATCACACTGAAGGATTCTGAAAACCGAAGATGAATCATATCTAGCTGCTGACAGGTAAATCAGGCACAAAAAAGACAATCACTTATCTAATGGCTTTATTCATTTATACATAAATGAATGAAAGAAAATGAGGTAAGTGTAGTTCATCGAGCTGTTCGTCCCGACATTGAAACTCGCTACATAACGTATATTTCTTTGAAAATGAATATTTTAGACTTTCCATCATTTAGACAAGGATTACACTTGGCTTATTTCGGGCCTAAAGCGTTCAACAACTTTTGCTTTTCCAGTCATGACCATAGGAGCAATGAGATATGGCCGTTCAATTTCATTGTCCTGCAGCCATCTCCATAGAGCTGTTAAAATACTGGTAATATTCTTAGTCGATTTAGAGCATCCCTACGCTTCAGATCCCTGACATAATTTATAAACTTAAATAAATCACCTCAGATGCATCTGTTTGGCTGTAATCATTCACAACGGAAAGTGCGTCCCAGACAGTTTGTTAATGCCAAGCGCGTTCTGTCTGACGGCAGCTGAATAGACGCGGTAGGAGGGGGGCCGTGATAATGTAACGTTAATGACAGCTGATCAGTGAATGCTAGCAAAAGATGAAGGTGAAACAAAAACAGTAACTTAAACAACATGTACTTCAGTTCAATACTCCAAATAAATGCTATTTCTAACATAATTGACCCTACCTTTCTCCCTTGCGACGACAAATTCTATCACCGATTTATTTACAATTCGACTTTGCTTATATAAAGATGTATATATATATATATATATATGTTATACAAACTTTTCGATCCTTTCTTATGCCTTCTATCGGTTACGACAATCGGTTGTAACATTAAGTATTCCATATACTTAATACTGCAGCCGATTGTCGTACATAAGAGATACATTATCGTATCTCTTATTATATTAAGTGCATATATTACGGACTGAGGCTTAGTAGAATAAGATTGTTGGCATCAAAACTTTGCGTAAAATGGCTTGTCGGCGGATTACGAAAAATGTATTATTTATTTCAATTGTGAGTTTCAGGGGGGAATGTGCAGTGTCTTTATATGCTTTGTTTCCCATTTACTCCGCTTGAGTTTCCGTAGCTGCAAGGACACCGTGTTCATTTCGCATGTGGTCCACCGTCTCTTGCTGAGTGCCAAAAGACTGGTTGCAAACACCGCACTTGTACCTGTCAAATAATAACCGTTAGAAAACCAAACATTGTGCCTTATGGACGGAACGATGCGGCCATATGCAACCATGTATTCATTTCACTTCAAATAGCATGTTAGATATCTTCGTAGCAAGCATTATATTTATTCTGTAAATCAACCAAGTCTATGTCAATGTCGATCTAACACTTTCACAGCGGGCAACAAACTATATATTTAACTATCCATCGAAAGATGGTATAATACAGAATACCGTTTTCTGTCTTAGTTACTCTTACCCACTCCTACCCTTCAGATCGTGTTATTGTTTTCAAAGTACGTAAAATCTGTTACCTGACTAGTGTGGCGGCAGCCGTCAAGGGCGCTTGCTTCTTTGCTCCGTGTTTGGTTACTAGATGACGCTGGAGCATCGAGTCCTTTGTAAAAGCTGCAGAGCAGTTAGGTTGTGAGCATTGTAGTAATACAACTGACGGCATCGTTACCGACGATTCAATGAACGCACCAGCGGTCGGATTCGAATTAACAGACTGATCGCGTTCGAACATCATTTCCTATAGTTAATATTATATTAAAAAACAATGTTATTTATTCACTATCACACAATGTTAGCTCCGATCTTATGGATACAATTTTTTAAATTAGCTTGCGCATAAATAGTGTACTAACAAATTAACACTAAGATGATTACACATCAAAATAAGGATAAGAATTTTCTCGACGGCTTGCAAGGCTCATAGGGGCACTTGTAAAGGTCTATTGCTATGTGACGCTATAGGCTATAAAACGTAATAGTCAATTTAATATAACAGTAAATTTTCTCTTTGCCGATTTTTTTTTAATATTTTTTAATACATTTTAATATTAAATCTAAAGCTTAGACATGTCAGCTCGGTCGGTTGGTTCATCCGTAAGTGATTCTTAGACACGTTATATATGCCAAGCTACTATCTATATTCCATCTATCTATATAAAAAAATTCTACATTTTAATACTCGTATATATCGGAACGGGAAATTCAAGGCGTTCCGGTTTTGTTGCACACATCATACACCGAAGTTAAAACTTCAATTTCGAGCTTTGCAGATACAGGTGAACGCATGTGAATTATCACAATAATTTGTAGTCGCATTAGTATACCTGTTCTCCGGGAGCTGCATTCAGAGCGAGACTGAGCGTTCCCTGCTGTTGTAGCTGCTCAGCTAACGCAGGATTCGCAGCCAGTAATTCCTCTAACTCGAGTAATTCGTATTCTTCATTACTATCTGGATTGATCGCAATGAAGCGTCTACCGGAGTCAGTCGCATTTTCCGCAGCCATAAACGAGCCTCCGTCAGTGGTCGTCATTTGTAGTTGTACTGTCGTAGAGCCAACTCCCACTTGTGGCGCAGCATTAGGCACTGGCGATGTGTTCTCCTGTGGACTTATGCGTTGAGTCTTAAGTGATGGATTATCGGACGACAAGTGCTGCCGCAAATGCATTTTTCGATGGCCAGATGTACGGAATCTATGGAACAGAATTGATATATTGATTGAGAAGATTACTATTGGAAGTTTACGATGTTTAATATTATGCTCAGCCAGATAGGCTTTACAGAAGTCGCTTCACGACTTTTATGGATCTACCTCCACTGAAGCAATAAATTGGCTATAACTTATGCATCCTAAACAATTTAACAACGAATCTTTTTTCTTCATATGCTCCAAATATAAAGATGAGCCCATAACTGATATTTAAGCTAATACATCGGTTCCGGACACTCAAGCCGTTATAGAAAAAGGGCAGGAGGGGTGTTGTGACATAACCGCCCACCACTGTTTCGATCAACAAACATAGTTAGAGCTGAATTACACCCTATTTGTACGCATCGTATAGCACACGTGAATCACGTATGTAAATAAATGCGTAATACAAAGTTCCTGCTTGCTACAGGACAACATTTGTCAGAATTAAATCAATGAATCCACAGTATAAAACCATGTCCAGATACACTGCAGAAAGCTTATAACTAATCTTTGCAGAAAGAAGAATTAAAGCTGGTAAGATTGCAAAGACCACCACAAGGTCGAAAACTAAGCGAGCTCAACCTTGCAGAAGCATTTAGATATCAACAAGTTAAGTGCGGAGTGAATGCCTCTTACATCGATAATCGAACTCCGATCCACGAGCTCATGTTTGACATTTAAATACCTATTCTACTATCAAGGCTTTCTTTTCAGAGACAATCTCCAATTTAAGCACATCTTCTTTTTGAAAGTGACTCAAAAATTACAACCAAATATTCTCCATAGGTACATAATTCCGAAATGCTGTAGCTTCTCTAACTGTATAAACATATAACAGAATGTATTGAAATGTGAGTTCATCCTCACAGGGAGGATTTCAAGGGCGTCAAAAAAAGACTACCTAAACTGCTGCCTATATGCGTTGATTACTAGTTTCCATATCACTGCAGGGCAGAATGTGAAGAAATATACGTCTGTAGCCAACCTCAGCATAAGCCTGTGCTTTTCTAAGCACAGCAAATTTTCCGAGGATCAAAGCTACAAAGTGCTGCTGATTTTAAAACTACTCTTGTTTGTACCTCGCAGGACAGAAGGAACAGGCGAACGGCCGTGCCCCAGTATGGAGTCGCATGTGAACGATTAATGATCCCATTGTAGCAAACCCTCGCGAACAAACCTCACACGGGTATTGACGTAGGCCTGAATGTGTTCGTGTGTGCACGTCCAATGATGATTTGACTGAAAGAAATTAAGCAAAGCTCTAAGTGACCGGAAAGTTACGATGCCATACCATGTATACTTACTTAAATTTTTCATCAGTTCAGTATATGCCTACACCCGCTATAAACATAGATCGTTTAAATAGCGACTATTACCGGGATTATTACACACAGTATAACGTTCAAGCTTACCTGTGAAGGCCTTTCCACATATGCTACATGAATATGGCCGTTCCCCGGTATGTGTTCTCATATGCCGGATAAGGTCAGAATTCTTCTTAAACCCCCTTCCGCAGTCAGAGCATCTGTGTAAGTGCTGACCAGGGACAATCATTGCCGACGACCGTCGACTCTCCTCTCCTAGAAGGTGGGTGCTGAAAAATTGACCGCCATTTGTGTAATTAAAAGGACCTGGGTTTTAGAAAAAAATTAGTTTCAAAACGAGCAGCCATTCATATCAAGAAGACTACGGCTATTGTTGAAATGATTTCATCACTGAGACTTCGCCCTAATTGACTACTGGTGCATAGCGCAATTATTCATACATTCAAGACGGTCGACGAAATGAAAACTAAGCGCAGTTAATTCAAAGGACGCATAAAATATTAACCTAAAACATAATTAGTGTTCAGAGTTAAAGTCAAACCAGATGGACTATCGTGAGAATCACCGAAATCATCCCGACTCGTAAATGGTCCTAAGTAATCAGGATCAAAAGGACAAACGCTACCAAAATCTTTAAGTAGTTAAAGTTAACTTCAATGGTAATCTAGTGGCTTTAATTGTGTTAGCCTCAACACAGATCACTAGAACCACATCAGTCGCTATGAATGCAGGAAAACTAACTTTGTTCGTCCCCAAAAATTTTATTGCACACCTGAAGCGTCTTAAACAAAATGGCAGAAAAGTATACCGTTTCACATCGTTGGCGCTGGCAATAAGGGCTCGTTCAAAAAGTGATGTGGTTTCACGAGGATTTTTCTTGGCTAATTCTTCAGTAGCCTCAATCTGAATCAGTTGAATTCCCTCTGCAACCGCCGTATTCCCGGAGGCACTTCGCGCACCGCTCTCTCGATTGGAACGCCCGCGACTGCCCTTGGGTCGTGCCTTCTCACGGGCAAGCTGACGCGCCAAATTTCGAAGAGCCGCTACGCCATGTTCCTTCTGTAAATAGAAATGAATAGATATTTTTTTCTTACCATAAATCTCTTTACGATTAGGAATACCAATGCATATTCAGTAACTTGAATTGTTAATACAGGTACTATCGAAATGCAATTATCTATATGTGAAGAATATCAATTAATCTTGTTTATAGCATTCTTGTGCGCTGCCTCATATATATATATATATATATATAAGCAAATAAAATAAACATAATTTTTATATCAGTTAGACATATTAGGTTGGAACACCAGACTAAGGTGAACTATCTTTAAATAAAGCATGAATGATAATGACAAATGTTTTCCGCAATTCGTATAAAAATGTTAGGTTTATTAGGAACAACAGAGAGGTATCAACATAGTGAATCAGTAACGACCCACCTTTACATGATCGCGAAGTGCTGACTCATCATTAGCTTCGGCACCACAGTTGAGACACGTCAGTACGGTGAAGGCGGGCTCATCGATCATTGTATCAGGGCTTTGACCTTCCGCAAGTTCACCCGATGAAATATCTCCTTGACAACAGCGCAAATGGGCTACCAAATGTCTCGAAGAGTCAAATATTTTCCCACAGCCACTACACCTGTCAGTTTTTATCGAAATGTATGGCAGCGGAATTATGTCAGAATGTAGGCAGGGCATATCAGAAAAGTGAACGCTTTTGGAAACATTGTGTGATCTAATGCTACCCGCTTAACAGCACCAATATATGTTAAATGTATTTCGGGAAGATATTTAACTAATGATTGTACCGAAAATCTATTTATCATAGATAAAGATATTCGCACATGTGTTCGTGCTAAGTGTAAGTGTTAAGAATAATTCTTTCACAGATAAATTTCCACACTTGGAGCCGTTCGATTAATAACATGTTTTTACCTGTAGTTGATGATTCCGTCGCTTGCTGTCGGTATACCATTGCTGGTCTGCGCATTTTCAGTGGGAACATCTGCAATAAAGAAAAGACTCTGTTGAAGACGGCCTCAGCATAGCGACGGTATCTGTTTGTGCTGTAGCGGGTCGAAAACGAATAATACGTGAAATAGGCTGTTCACCCATAACTATGATGACAGATAGCAAGTCCCACTAAATCGATCAGTGTCAAGCAACGTCTGCGTTTAATTTCTCACCATTGTCGATACTAGGAACATCTTTGTCTGTGATCAAAACTTCTTGGTGTAAATCATCTTGTGGCCTGCAATCCTCTATTTTATTTGAAGGATTTCCAGGGTTACCCTCCTCCTGACTTAATTGATCACCACCGCTTTGCCGTTGTTCATTACTGCCATGATACTGATGATAATCGTTGCTGTCGTCATGATCTGTTGTTCTGCTGGTGTGAACGTTATTATCAATTACATTGTTCTGCTGCAGTAAAAGGGTGATGGTTTCTTCGGTGGTTCCGAGCTGTGAGGCCAGAGTGCTCACATCGATCCCCTCAGAGGGAATGGTAAACGACTCTGCAGGAAGCCCGGTATCGGTAACCCCAGCCAAGGTTAGCCTTGTGCCCCCTGGACTGCCAGAGGCACTTGAGCTAACAAGAGGTAATTGGTCTAAAGCAGCAAGATCCCCAGTCATGGTCCTGACGATAGTCGATCCGGAAGCATCCGTCAAAACTTGAGTTCCGTCATCGCCTCGACTAACGAGCTGGATAAGGGTGCCACTTGGACCTAGCGCTGAAAGACCAAACAGCTCTTTGCCTGGAACCTGTACCATCAACCAATAAACAGGCAATAATTTACTAGTAATACTTATTGCGTTTAACATATTATCCTAACGGCAGGAATAACTGGCCTAAAAGGAATGTAAAATTCAGAAATTAAGTTTGTCTTGAATTAACTTTCACTTCGAAATTATGTGGCAATCTTTTCTTTATGATTTAATATTATAACGTTACATTTAATGTCTACATAATTTATAGGGTGGCTTAGATGGTCCTAATGAGATTGTTTATATTGAAACGATCTTAAGTCCCATCTGTTCAACTAGAGTTATATCGGTGTCCCTTTATAAATATAGAGCAAAACATCAGTCGTTAACAATAATATTTATTGAATTAGAATCACCTGATGAGTTGGTGGATTATCAGGATCAGCAATAATATGCAACTGGACGACGGAGTCGCACCCTCGGCGAATTTGTGTGCTACCTGTTGATTGCTGAACGGTTCCGGACGTCTCTGAGACCATCGGCGAACTTTGACTTGCCTTAATCGAAATTGACACTAAAAATCAGCCATGAACAACTACAAACCTCTATCTGTTTGTGCAAACGTCCGGAAAGCTAAACTATTATCAACGCTGGATAGCTGATTTACATCCTAGCAGATTCACTTTTATTTCAATTTTAATAAACGAGAAATACCAAATAAGTGTGGCATTTTAAATAACAGTACGTTAAAATTTGCAGTGGATGACTTACAAAGCGGGATTGAATAAAAGAATAGATCGCGTATTTAATATACTATAATAGAAAGGGAAGGAGCATATTCAAAGGCTTAGGGCCTTGTACAAATATGGGTATACATTAGTAAATTTAGTTACTTCAAATATACGTACTGAAAAAATTATATCCTTTAAATGAATAACATTATTATCGTATATTAAGCTCCAACCATTTAGGGATTGCTTTGTAACAGACATTATCCTCTCCTCCTCTCAATGATCGACTTGGATACTGCTGACGCTTTTTCTGCCACCAAGAAAGTAGCGGTGCCTTTTGTTAATACAAAGAGATGTCATGAACTTAACTATTGATATAGACGATATAAGAACGTCTTAAATAATAAAAACATTTTGTCTTGTGGTTTTGCTTATGGACCGCGTTACTTACTGATTTTATGGGTACTAATGCGTTGCCTGATGAATAAATGATAATACTTTTCATGTACTAAGTACCTTTAAAAACGTTTCTGTGCTAAAAAATGAAATCCTTTTTAGGTGTATTGTGAATTTCTGTATTGAAATAAAGTAACTGAACAACTGAACTTTCAAGAACCTGTAAAATTTGTTGTTTAGCCTGTGGATCTCCTTGAATATCCAGTGCAGCTGCGGACTCCTCGATACCCGCATCGTGTTCGTTCTCCTGCCCTCCTTCCTGGATGATACGATCACGAAGCGCCCCTTCTCGAAACACATGGATTGTTGATTCTGTGGACTAGAACGCGCAAGCAAAGTTGTCAAATAATCATATGTAAAAAAAAAACCAAAGCATCCACTTGTTTACAGTCTGCTTGTAAAGGTTATCAAAATATCACGGATAATTAACCTTAAAAGTAAATAACTATTAGCTTACATGACTAGCTGCGATGTGTTTGCGAGCAGCTCCGTTGTTACGAAATCGTTTTTCACAGTAGGGACAAACATAAGCCCGAGAGTCCTTTCCAACTGTTGATTCGGCAAAGCTACATTCAGAGCCAGTATTTTCTCTTCCTCCGGTACGTTGCCCCAAACTGTGAATGACACAAAGATTTCTGTTTGTTCTGCTTTGCTTACTAATTTTCCGTATAAGCCACCATCTTTACATCACAGTTCCTGTTTAGCAAAAAGCATTACCAACTTAAAGAAGACTTCTCTCTCTCTCTCTCTTTGTAGTCTCGAGGTCGATTCAAAATACATTATCGGCTCGACACAATTCGCTAGATCCCGAAGCAATGTGAGGCTCTGTTTCAGATGACTGGACTCGGTTCAGCGACATCACTACATCTAAACCTTGTCTCTGTTCTTCAACCATGATTGTCTGCGAACACGGTCTTACAATAATTGTGCTGTCGATTAAAGCGCTAGACGCCCTCTGGCCCTCCCCAAAAACATTATCGCACGTTCATCTCTTCAAAAAAATACTCCACAGAGAAATGTCTAGTAGCGAATATTAGGACATCATCGCAATTTGATGTACATTTAGATGATTGTTTTTCAATATACCGCATATAAAATGACGTTCTGACTTACCCATTTTCTTCCGGTTCTTCTTCGCCTTCAGCAGTAGCGCTGCTTTCCTTATGGCTTTCTTGGTGCCGGCGCAGTGAACCTGGGAAAGATTCAAGTCGTGCACATACGCGACAGTCGTAGTTGTCAAAGATGATCAGAAATCAAAGCGATACATAGTATGATTCATCGTTCTCTGTAAACTTTCACGTCTCAACCTTCTATAACGGATGACTAAGGCTACCGTCGTGAAACAAATACACGAATGTATACTGTGGTTTATTCCCACTGTGAAACCATGAACAGACGACATACGCGCTATTACTTAAACAAAGCAAAAAAAAAGTTCATCAAGAAAATGCGGACTAAAACCCGACATTTGTTTTATTTGTGTACAAGAATTATCACCCTCTACGGGAAGTAGGCGATGGATCTCACACGCCAAACTTCGATATCATCGACTTTTCTTCAGTTCAGTCTTCCTAGTCGCTCCCAAAGCTTTGCCATTCAGCTCGTTTTGTGTCAACAAAGCTTGCAAAACTGCTTAACTCGCACTGTGTTATAAAAGCTAGAAAAGCTCTCTATACAAATAAGACTGAACTCTCTTATTTTTCATTCAATTGTAAAGGATTTGTACAGCACGACGAATTACACTGACAAAGTGTAAAAGGTAAATTAATTCTTTTTTATTGTACGACTGTAACAGATAGCGCCACTAAGTGTCTATAGGTATTATATTTTCAGTTAATATCTCTACTACCAGAAGATTCGGCAAATTCGAATGCGTCACCAGATAACGCTACTATCGATGTCGATTAATAACCTTTGTATAAAATCTTTGTTTGTCACATTTTTCTACGACAAAAACATTGAGCAAGCAAAGAATTTAATGCGGATTTCTCATGTTTTTGGTCCGTTTCACGGGAAATTTCCTAGCCCGCTCAATGACTGCATGCTCTACGCTCTACCTTTTTTGCTTGTTCTTTTTATAGAAGATCTTCCTTACATCTCTACTAGTTCGTACTCATAAAAGGTTGATCTACCTTATTTTGGAGAAGAAGACCGTATGCTAGCAGACAACTAGAATTCGAACGAACGCGACGCTAGCGGATATCCCTTTAGGTGCTTTTTTTTCATGCAATTTTTTTCTCTCAAGGAAAGCCAACGAGGTGAAAATAAATTCGCACGGATTTAATTGATGACCTGATACAAATATCATTGACCTTATTGCAACCTACTTCTGCGTAAGCCTTACCTCGGGTGGTAAACGATGCTGAGCACTTTGGACAATGAAACTCTTTTAGTCCACTGTGTGTTCGAATATGTGCTTTCAATATAGAGCGCGAAGTAAATGATTTGAGACATTCTCCGCATCGAAACGGCTTCTCACCTAAGGATGTGATGATAACAACAATTCATTGTTGGCAATGGCAATAAATAAAGTATGCAACTACAAGGATTTACTGCTAGGATAAAATAGCTAGAAGGTAGATCTCGTACTTTTAAAAATTGAAAAGTTTTTACACATCATTACAGAATTTGACTACAAACTACCCACACTTATTGCTTAATAATAATTTTAGGCACTACGTTTTACAAAAAGCTTACAGTTTACGGCCCTATGGGGAGCAAGTTGAATGAATGAATGAAGCAAAATGAATCACATTGTCTTATATACGAGTAAGACTAACTTACTGTGAATTTTTATAAGATTAACTAACGGAAACGTTACCGGTATGAGAACGAAGATGTTGTTTAAGATGCGAGGACTTCTTAAATTTGTATCCGCAGATATCACATGAAAAAGGTCGGCGACCCTCCGTAGAAGTAACTCCGGCTTCTACAGCTGTTGACGAAACCCCATCTAATAAAGGGCCAACAATGCCGCTAGTATCTTCTAACTCAATTGTTCCAGCGTTGGACTGTGTGATCACTAGATACGAGTCAAAATCAAAAACTCTGGTCGGAACATTTGCAATAACGCAGACCAAATACTACTCATGCAAGAATCATTGAGACAAAGCTAGTTCTTATGATCCAATACGACGAAAATAGTTCGGAAAATCTTATGATACAGTTACAAGTTCAACGATAGTCAAATGATTGAAATATGTAAAAGCATACTTTACCATAATGAAAGCAATAAGAACAATGGATCATTAGATTGTTGAATGAATACACGCAGTTTTTTTTGTTAGGACTCTAACCTAAAAAACCGTTCTCAAACTATGTTTTATGGTAAAAATAAACTAGATATATTATACAATAACAATGGGGACGACAACCACAAGCGACTTCTTGGGAAAGCAGGACGATTAGGTCAAAAAGTCTGAACGGTTTCAGTCATAACCTTGATTCATCCGATAATTATCTTTGTTGTTACGACTTAAATGTGGCATAAGTACATATGCACATACATAAAAAACTTTTTTAAAAAACGTATTAGAAGAACAGCTTACTGAAAGTCAGCGAGGATGTAATGATAACTTTTACTTTTTATGCTATACAGTAATTACATCGACTTCGATCAAGTATGATTTTATAAACTATATAAGGAGACTGTAAAATATAGCTGAAGATGCTTGCGCGTCGACTTTAAAAAAGTAGAGCGTTAAAATAGAAAATTAAATTGTTTTGTATGATTGTGCCCATTTCAGAGTTTCGCTATAGCCCCCGATCCCCATAAACTTGATCAGTTTTGAAAGCGTCAAAGCTATTCCATCTATAAGTATTACCATGTTTCTACGTCAGATAGCAAAGGTTTTCTATTTATGTCTGTGATTCTCGTTAGCGGGTATGTTTTCACTAAGCAACCAAGTCATAACTCGTTTGGTGATTTAATAAGAGCTAAAATTTCGCTATGTATCCAGTTTTCTACTTGCATATTGCTCCTATCGCTAGTTTTGTGTTAATGAGCATATAGTGCTGTATTCAAAGCTAACCTGTTTCAGAGATCATAATTGGTTCCTGCATGGGCAACAGCTCTGTGCTTTCGACTAGAAGTTCGCCATGTGCTTCTTGAACGTGGACCGCCAACATGTCTTTGCTCTCGAAAACCAGAGTTTCGCATTGACGACACCTACCAAGTGACGGACAACAGAATTAGCTTGATATGATAGCTCGCAATTATTTAGCCCACGTTCTACCAAGCAACGTTGGAGTACTTGTGCGTTAAACCATCTGAAGTCCATTTTAATGATTAACAGAAGTACAATTCTATAATACTATGTTTGAAAGCAACCGCTTGGTTACACACCATGTTTACAGTTGCGACATTTCATAGAATTTTCCAGTACAGAAAACACATTTCAGTACCCACTGCATCAGTACAGTCTGGTTTAAATTTCGTCCCCTTTCAAAGTTATGTTCTTCTTTATTATGGCTAATAAACTCGTCAAGAAATGTTCAGTATAGGAAGAGGTATATGTAACATTACCTATACTGCGTATAGATCTTGGCAGCTGCAACTCCGTGAACTGCCATATGCGTTTTGCAGCCCTGTTCAGATCGGAATGATCGAGGGCAAAAAGGACATTGCACTGTGCGACCTTCTTCAAATCCTCCGACTTCAGTTGGAACTGAGGCTGTTCCAGCGGCAGCCTTTGACGAATCTCCATGAATGCGCATATGGGCACTGAGAGACGATTTTAGCGAAAATGTGCGAAGGCACTCATGACACCTAAATCAGGGCCCAACAAAAAGGACTAATGTTGAATTAGCTCAGTGTTTATTCATAACAGAAATTAGTGTTACTAGTGCTATATTTGAGCATCATCCTCGTCGATATCTATGTAAGGTTAGGTATATGTACATTTCCTAGGTTGTCATTCTTCCAGAAATACTTTGAGTTACCGTTTGTCATGGCACTCCTAGAGTGTGGTGCTACTGCTGTGTCCGAATAATTTCGAATTACACCACACCGCGCAGACATAGAATGGACTTTAAATTATATGCATTGTTTCTAATTGGCCAGAATAACGAAGCATGTTGCCAGTTTTTTTTAGAGCAGCTTCTTCTATATCAACAGATAATTGGGTCGGAACCGACACGAAGCACGTAGGTTTAGAACGACCGATAGGTAAAATAATAATCTAATAACTGAGTAAGTGAATTAACGCAAATTGAATAAGCGAGTCAACGCAACAATTAGGTTCACTTAACATCATAAGCTTCAAAAGGGATTTTAAATAGCCTTAGCCATAATTAAATATGAAACCTACTTGAATGGTCGACTCTGAGTGTGCATACGAATATGCCGAACCAGATCGGAAGGTCGTCGAAACTCCCTGGAGCAAAACATGCATTGATGAAAGGCTCTGCCACCGGCACGACGCACAACATGTTCCCAAACCTGCGCATGCGTAGTACACACAGTAAAAGTAAGAACGTTGTCTACTTAATTGTTCATTTTTCGAACAAAAATACATCAAATTCAGACTATTCATTAAAATAACTAGAAAAGTCGGCGGCAAACCCATTTCTGGCATTGCGTCTCCTATAGGTTTAAAGAAGTAATCTGGAATTAAATGATTATGAAATATAGACAGAAGTCTTCGCTATATGCTTGCGTTGCTTATTCTTTAAAGAATTAGATTGTTGTTTAATATTAACAATCTAAGGATATCCATTTTCTGGAAGGTTAATATGTCATTAGGAAAGTGAACAATGCTTCGGCACAATCCACGAAGAAGCCTTAAACAAGTTTTCAGGATAATAATCTCCCCAAAACTATGGTAAGTTTAGGGTATGATCTAGATACATTCTATGCTTAGACCGCTGTGCACTCACGCACACAATTTGCCCCTCTAAGCGCTTCAGGAGCATACTGCCGACGTATTGTAAGTCTAAAAGTAAAACGGAAAAGTATAAAGTAAATATACGATAAAATCTGCATATTTTCATTGTCTTCAAACAAAATATCCCTTTTATTTCAAGCTCAAAGATGTCGGCTGATATCTTTACCAAGTCCGTGAAAGCTGCTGTACAACTAATTCCTACTTTAAGTGCTACTTACCGTATTTAGAATACATAGATTCTGATTGAAAGTTTTCTCACCAAGTAACGAAAAATTGTGACCAAGAAAGAGAGAAAAAGTGTATTAATTAGAGGAGAAACTAATATTTGATATGTTTAAGAGGTCCTGTAGATTTCTTAACCAAGCCAACCTAGAATGCAGTTACTCCAGACAACAGAGAGGTTCAATGTCAGCTAACTACTTTGTTGCCAGTCTTCTCTATATAGGCCCACATACTCGCATATTTGGTTTGTAATCAACTATTTTTACTATTATTCTAACCTCGCCAGTGTGAGCGTCCGTCAGGGGTGCCAGTCGAATTTGGCACTCATCTTGATCCTGTAATAGAAATGGTTGAACACCTCATGATTTCATATATACTCCACAGAAAATACTTAAAGACGTTGTTGTTACAGCATTGACTACAGCCATCATACATCTGAATATTAAACAGGATGGCCCCGGTAGAAAATGTTGTCTAGGCGATTTTGGCCTCTAAAATTTGTCTTTTAAAGAAAATACTCCTATTACTGAATGTTTATCCCATTCTATGAAATGCATCATCCTCCACAACCAGTTATGGGAAGTATATGGCTTCTGTATTTAGGATTTTTTTAGTGTTGCTTGGATTGCATTTTATGTACATATCGTGCCTACGGAGCACACACACCCAGGTTTCTATGGTTAGGTGATTAGCACTTACCTTCTGCTGTTTGTTATCATAAGAACCCGCTGCACTCGGAGAAGTCTGAACCTTTTCACGTTCAGAGTGTTTTGGAGGCCCCTCACAATCACCTGTTTCTACAACTTCTTCCACTTCCCCCTCTTCTCCTTCACGTAAACCTAATATAAAAGGGGAAACAAAATATGCATTTTTTTGGAACACACATACCTGTATCGCTTTTGTAAAAAACAACAATTGAGGGGTATTACTGCTGAAATCATGAGCAGTGGTTTTAGGCGCATTTTGTTTGATCAAGAAAAGAGGTGTTTAGCTCTGCAAATCAAAAAACACTGTGTAATCGATAGCGCTAATTGTGCCAGGTAGCCCAGAGATTGTAATACAATCAAAAACTCGTGCAGAAAGGGCTTATCAACCCATTTATACGTTTCCTCATGTTGCCTTCTGCTCATCGGGTGTAAGTATTAGCTCTAGTAAGTAAGAATAAAAAAAGTTAGTATTTATATAGAATTTTAAATACAAAGATGGTGTATAAGTGAAGGTTTAGATTAAATAATTAAAAATAGAAAATATTTGAGTTTGTTACCATACCGGAATTTGTTGTTGAGTGTCCGTCTCTGGTTTTATCCTCTGCCGTTTCGGTTTCTTCCTGCTCATTATTTCCAGTTTCGCTGCTATCCTCCCCTTTTTTCACAACACGTAACTGATTATTCTCGATGTTCTACCAAACATTAAAGGAAATGTATAGTTATATATAAATATGCTTAAATAACGCAACCACAACTTTCCAGAACCTTATAGTGTATAACTCATTCTGCTAAAAGCTTTCGAAAATATGTAATGTTAGCTTTATAAATTGAGCATAAATCAAGATGCTAATAAGTCTCCATGGTTTACAATGCCAGAAAACAGATTCTTTTCGCTACGCTACGGATAACATAGCAGTTCTTGAGCCATCTAAAGAATGGATCGATATGCTTTAGATCGCGCATCACGAAGCCCTAACTAAGGCAATTACAAACGTCAATGTGTTGGACAATGGCTTGCATCATTATCCCAGAAGAAGTAACAATTCTACAATATATATGGTATAATATACTGCTGTAGACATCGCCATAATATAATATCTGTAATATGGAAAGAACTGATGCTAAGGATTTTATGGATAACAAGGGTAATCATATTAAGGAAGACCAAATGTAGCTACGCGGTAAACTGAGAAGTTGAATAATTTAAAAGAAAACACGAAGTCTTAGATGGGGATCGAACTCGAAATGTAATGCTTGTGACGCCGGTGCCTATTCACCTTACAACCATTGTAGCCAACTGTATAAGGGATATTTTATACGGAAGATTTGCTTTTCTTCTGTAAAAACAATTCGGTAAAACGCACGGAGGGCACATTCTCGAAATAAACTTTACAAGCTACTGAAGGACCCGAAATGTAATTATTTTATTTAAATTAGATTTATCAGTTAAAAACAAGCCACAAGTTTGCTATACATGCTTCGCTTTCGTATCTATTCAAGTTAGCCTTCTTAACTAAGAAATAACTACTGAGTACACTGACTTCAGTGTTTTTTCCTTGGCCGTTGTCGCATTGTATAAGAACGGCTCGTTGAACAGGAGTAGCGGGTTCCCCGCTGTTGATGCCTGAAGTATTTGCCGTCGTGGCGATCTGCTGGTGTCTTTTCGATATATGACATCCTAGCGCAGTACTTGTTCCAAAGACGCAGGGACAGACTGGGCACTGCAAAAGCACTTGTGCGTTAGATATTACTAAGCAAAATTGCAACGTTACATTACCCTAATTTCCAGCATTTAATTCTTCAAACAGTCAGTGCTACAATGTATGGTGCATTTCAATGAACACCACAATAATGCTTTAAACGAATATGCCCTCACGATCATTTTTTTTCGTACCAGCCGAACCAACATATTTTCTAACATGATACGATGTCAAGCAATCTTCTTTGCAGGTTGTAAGAACATAATTAATTGTACTAATTTTACAATTTCATATGGTATAAAAAATAATTCAACCAAATTCAGATTATTTGGCTGTAACCTTATATTTCAAGAGATCAAAGACCAAAGTTTACATCTACTCTATGCAGCATGTAAATCAATACAGCCGTCACGAAAACCTTAGATCAATAATATTATTCGTTGTTTATAAACAAGCATTAAGAATGATCTATGCCGTAGTGTTTTACAGATTACCTCAAGTTTTCTCTCTGGCTTGCCCATAGGGTGCAGTCGTGCGACGTGCGCTCTCAAATTCGATTTCTGAGAAAATCGGACCTCGCAGAAGGGGCATTCGAACGGCCTTTCGCCGGTATGAACTGCCATGTGAGCACGAACCGTCACCTCCTGCGTGAATCGCCGTCCACATACCTTACATGAATACTTTTTTTCACCTGTCAATGCATCAATGGCACGATGATAGAGTCATGGGTCCTTTCACTACGTTCATGCGCATGAATATCTGATTAAAGGTAATAGCAACAGAGGCTAATTTCTATTTAACTTTTCTTGTTAGCCGTAAACAACATGTACCTGTATGAATAGTGGCGTGTCGAGCGAGCAAAGATGCTTTCGAAAAAGCCTTAGAGCATGTAGGACACTCGTGCATAGGGCGGTTAGCACGCCCCAAACGGCCTTTTGCTTTATTTTCGTTGGACTCTTTTTTTGAAGTCGTACTTCCTCGCCCACCACCAGCCTTACGATTGCTACGTAACGCACTCTTCATCTTTTGGTGATGCAATCGGTGTGCAGCGAATTCCTCTTTATTAGTGAATGACTTTCGGCAGGTGAAGCAACGCATCAGTCGGGGGCCTCGAAGTCCACTGATTTCGCCAGAATCCCGTACACTGTGCAACATTTGGACGTGATAGTTCAGTTCTTCCTAAAATGTACAATACATGAGCGTTTTAGCTGGATTAATGTCTATTTTTATTCCTAATCAGAGAATACCAATTATTATCATCATCATATCTATACTATTTGGCCATACGTTCGTATGAAATTTGAAGTCTATTTAATGGATCCTGGAAGTTTCACGATCAGAGGTGAAGGCAAATATGCTGACTGCATATAGACATGTAAAGGATTTCCTGATGCCCGTAGTGTGTGTGGATATATGCCAAATGAAAGGTGCTTGCCGACTGCTGTGAGAGAGAATAATTTCCAACTATTTTCATCAAAGAATAAGGACCATTGATATATACTCTATCGGAACAACGTACACTACCTGTGTATCACATTCGACCTCACAATGGGTACACACGAAGAATTCATCCTTGAGGTGGACACTAGCATGCGACTTCAGTGACGCCTGCCGGAGAAAACGCTTGTGGCAAACGGGGCATGATAAAGTTGAGTCGGCGGTTGGATGAGCTGCAGCCCGATGAAGTATTAAATTGACCTATAAACGACGTCAAGAGGACATATAATATCAATTAACACTGGAACGACCGATGCTTCTTGTATACTAATTTCCACCGTGTCTGAACAAACTGATCGATCCTTATCGTTTTTATAGTTAAATGTAGATTTTCATTGGCGAAGGGTCCGATATAAGTGGATCTCAAAAAATGTAATCGGGGAAAAAGACTGCTAGTAGTGGATTTAATGTCAAACTAATAAGCATGCCAATTTCAAACAAAGGTTTACAAGCAGATAACGGTGAGCGACGGCTGAACAATTTTATTCCGAACATAACGAAACTAGGTTGGCCATGCAACGGAGGTAATCAGATTGCTGTCAATTAAAACTGTGGATCCCTCAATTACGGGGCGTTGCCCGATTTAGCACGTTATTGCATGACACAGAGTTTTCAGAATTTTGCTAGTAACAATGTCATTCGAGCGCTGTGGATCCAAAGAACAGAGTCACCCAAATACTCCTAGGTTTCCTCAATCAAAGGTTTTGGAACAATTTTAAAATTGTTCAAATTTTTCATTAGGAATACTGTTACTGCTAGCTACCCTAATCAGGTGCCACTGCTTAAGGTCTGAGCAGCACCTTCTTTAATAAGTTAGTTCGTAGCTTGTATAAACCTGTATTTTTAAACGAATGCCACGATAACGTCTAGTGGATGCTAACTTAGGTGACGGAAAGACTAAAGCTGCAGAATTGTTGACTTGTGAATTAAATTACCTCGTGATTAAAAGCCTGCTCACAGCTATCGCACTTGTGAGGCTTTTCGCAAAAGTGCGATTTAAGATGTAACTGTAATCGGCATTCGCTCGAAAATTCCAGGGAACAAATGGTGCACCGGAACGTCTCAGATAATTCCTATAAAATGCGTACAACAAGTTATCCTTAACTTTTTTGTATCCATTTAATAACTTGATAATCGATAGTTTCGTTTTATTTTTTTAACCTAGCATGCTAAGTTTGTATATGTCAAATTCCATCTAAAACTAAAGGTTTCATGCACTACGACCAAAAATATAACCCAAACAGGTATTCAAACGAAGGTCATGGTATGGCTCAGTGTGATATATCTCATGTCATAGTTCAAACTCTACCATAACAAATCCGATGTATTATATTAATATAAGTAGCTTAATAAATATAACACAGATATGCCAATCCTGTAATATAGGTCCATAGAATTGTATGGTAGGGTACGATGAACTAGGTATATTATTCCAGGGGGCAGTTTACGCACACAACGTCATATTGTATTTAGTACACTATTCTAATTGAATCGGGCCGTAGACTAAAATAAAGCAAAGTCAATTAGTGCCATCTTTTTTGAGTTCTTTAACCCTCTGCATGTAATAACTGATTCATTTTATACTAACGCCCAAGGTGTGCTAACCTACCTGACTTCTCTCTTCACTAATATCAATGGTCTGATTAAGCGTGTTAATATGCACGATGTTGGATGAATCGGCATCATTGCCAACAGCATCTGCATTCCTACTGGAGAGGGTTTCCAAATGGCCAGCTGTAATAAATCGGATAGACGATGTATCACCACCTCCGTTTGCAGAAACAGAAGCACTTTCACCTGCCGTCGATGAATGAACAGTGGCGTCGGCAACGGAAGTCGCGATATCACCAGTTCCAGTTGCGGGGGTTCCACCCGCAATCGCAACACCGCTGCGAGCAGCCCCAAACACCACCGGCGTAGCATCGTCTTTTTTTTTTATTGTAGCTTTGTTAGTTCCTGGTTTTTATGTTGTTTAATGTTCGTTTAATGTTTAATGTTTAATGTTTAAATGTTCGTTAAACTTGAATAAATAGAATGTTCGTACATCTTCATATTTAAGCGAATAGAGCCTCTACCGATGAACAGTCGATGGAAGGAACAACGCAATAGGGTAATGCCGCAAGCTTACATAAAATAATACGCTTACCTTTTCGGCCAGGTGCTCTACTAGTGTTTGTTTCCGGGCTCGCTGCAACCAACGCTGTAGTAATCTCAAAGAATCCCTCTTCTCTCTGGCAAAGTGAAAACATGTCTCGAATTATGCTCATCTCAGGGGTATTTTAATAATATCTAAATCAACATCACAAATATTTGAAGCTGGAAAACGAGGTCATGCGAAAATAATATCGATCACATAATGGACTGTGTATACGCCTCAACTGCCATCATTTTTAGCACAGATTGAGACCACGGCTGTAACCGCAATCATGCTGAAAGGCTTCTGCTTCGTATTCTCTGTGCCTTGCTCAGAGAGGATGTAGTGTACGACACCCCAATGACGAAGTCTCATTTTTCTACTAGTACCGGGTGGCTTACCTTCAGAGAGTCTTAGTCAAAAATAATGTGATTGCCCTGAACAGGCCTAATAGCATTGTGTTAGCAGTCTACTCACAGCCGACGAGAACCGACGCTCACCCCTGTTGAAAAGCTGCTAAACAAACTGCGTGCGGTGCAGCTATCATTTTCCCTTGTTGTCTGTGGAGATTAGTTAACGCACGATAAAACCAACGCCAACCTAAAGCCGCACACAGATAACACGAAACCTAGCCAACGCATACCGCTGAGTTGTTAATTTCCCGTTCACACTCACCTAGATGGAAGCTGAACCAATATGCATAAACAATGTGGACCTTCTTGGTTGTAATTATTTACTTAGAAAAGGAGCTCATCTTCATGCTCGCGTCCCCATCGCTATGAAACGATCTAACGCTGCGCACCCTGGTCATCTCCAAAAAGAGAAAGAAGCCACTTCAGTACTGCTTATATCTGGAAATTTTAAACGAGCTCGCCGTCTAGGCCGTATTTTGTCTGCGTACAGACGCAGCAACCAATGCATATTCAATAGCAGTTTGCACAGTGGGATTGGTAAATAAGAAACGTCCGTGCTTTAACGAACTCAGCTGTCTTGCAAAGAAAGCCTAAAATGGATGCAGCCTCCTTGCAGAGATATATCCTGAAATGCTCTTGCAACCCACTTAAAAGCTCTTCGTAGAGAGACCTATGTTACGTACAGCACTGAGAAGCAGACGTGGTTCGATAAGTTCCTCCGACGGATCCCCCCCCGACATACTCATCGGCTAATTGGTAACTGACTCCACATTTGGATCGAATAATATGTTACTATGGGACTCCTTTTATAATTTTAGCGGCTTTTTAGATTAATGAAAAGTCAGACTATATCGAATTCAACTTTTAATGTTGGAGGTCGTTCAGGCTCTTTTAAAGAACACACCAATTACCCTGCACTCCGATTATGTGTCCGGATAAAATAAAGAAGAAGCAGCTGAAGGATGCTTTTATGCTAGCCCGTTGTCGGACGGCGCTGTATAGTAAGTGTCTCTGAAGGGGCGACCTTTCCGACTAATGATCAAGAGCCACATTTCTAAACATTCCTACATGTAAAAGGATTTCTATCTTGTCTACTTTGTGACATGGCGTTGCAAAAACGAGTGCGTCCTTCAAACTGCTAGTTTCCCTGGCAATGAAAACACGGTTTCTTAGAATCGTCATTTCTGACAAGCGGCACGGCTTTCGACTTCACCGATCACCCATTATGCTGTGTAAGGCTCTTTTGATTTTTATAAAGGATTTTTTGTCTAGGCAAACGGCTACTATTGCGTTGTAGTTGTGGACTTTAAGGCGGCGACGCTTCTGAAAAATTCACCAGTGAGAATCCGAGAACCCAGAAACTTTGTGGAGGAGGTTTTGTATGCTAACGACCTAGTTGTCTATGGAAGGAGCCGTTTCCAAGCCAAGTAAGCGTTAGGTAAACCGCATGTAATAACAATATATTACTACTCAACCGTGGATCTAACAAACACGGTAGCGCAAACTATTTTTTGAGACTGGCCGTCTGTCGCACTTGTTTCCACAACCTATTTTTTTCATTAAACGGTAGAAGCTTTTGGTCGCAACTCACGGAAGAGTGGCGCATAGAGACAATAGTAGTTATGTCTACCATGAGAAATCCACCTGCTCTGAATCGCTACCGTCTTTTGGCTCTTTGATCTCGAAATAGCCCCACGGCATAGACATCATATAGAATTTTTTTTGCAGACTTGTAGCAACTAAATCGGCTTATAATTGTCTAGCTTAAACGTATTTTGGGACTCCCTCACTTAGCGCAGTATAGGCTAATTGACCTATTTTGCTGGGACATTTGTGTCAGCCAAAGACTTTAAACAACATCTTGAGGCCTATTGCTTGCACGACTAACTCTATGAACGCGTCACGACTTAGGAAAGCGAATCCGAAGGTATGTAAGGCCACGCGTGGGTGACACCGAATTCCTTAACTAAACATGTTGTAATCACCCACGTTCATTTCGAATCGGCATAGTCAACTCCAAGTAAATAGAAAAGGTTTTTTTTCTAGACTAAATTATATTTGTCGAAAGCTATCTTGTCGATATGATTATTCATAAGAATCGTTCTGACTACGAAAGAAATTCTTAAGCAAAACTCAAACATCATCGTTCTGCGCTATTAGATATAGCATGTCACCTTTCGAAAGCTCGAATTCATGAATTAATAAAGTAATATCAGCTCACCTCAAATACATTATGTTGAATCAAAGCACGAAAATCTTGCAATTAACGTTTATGTAACTTACTCGCAAAACATACCTGCTGAATATTGAGTTGGGACGTATCGAGAAAAAGAGTGCCCACGCTGCCATCAGCATTCAACACATTTAGGTAAACACCTGCTCCGGAGTGGGTCACTGCAGTCCCGCCTTGAAGGGTCGCTGCAGCAAGACCATCTGCTTCTACTTCAGCTGGACTTTCAGCTGAAGCCATTGGATGCTTAGAGTGCTATATATCACGCAGGAAAACGGTATCTTGTACACATGGGCCTGTACGTGTATAGCTTTCCTCTAGACCTGGTGTCTAGCGCAGGCCATCGTCTCAAATATCGTTTCCATATTGTAGCGATTTCCAAACGATTCCGTTTTTGATATACTTTTTTGAAGCGGCAACATGAGCTGCAAATATTAGGCAACATCGTGACTGTCGTAGTAGTATATACGCGTATACCGAAACTACACTAATAACTATCTTGCACTTTTTGACTAATCCCCTTTTTTTTTCACTTGGTCATCAAATAATCATGAATTTATATTCTATGTATGCTACGGCGAAATGGTAGTACAACATGATGAGAAAGTGACTGAGACCATTGTGATACCCGTATCCCATAATTATATGTGAATAATATACAGTAAAAGTAACTGCATATGGCGAAAAACTAGATTATAACAACTCTGGTTATATGATATGATATTATAAACCTACATTGATTTCATCAGGTCGTTTTAACGTGGGAAACGTAATGAATTCTTATAAAAAACAAAATTCCCATGTGCCATTAACATAGTCTCAATTCATTATGTAGATGCACCGACGAGTAGGATACAATTTGAAAAACGATATTTTTTATAACAATTATAATCGCCAGATATAATATTATCTATAAAATAAAACAGGCAATTTTGAAGTCTATTTGTATTTGAATGTAAATTATTTTATTTTAATTCTGATTTAGTAAATTATCGCTTTTTGTTCACTCGAATCAAGCAATTCCAATGTTTTGGCGCCTCTGAGAACAATGTTTTCCACAAAATATTTAAATTCCTAAGTGATCAGATCTTATTTGATATAT